GCAGACACAATGGAAATTACAGTGTGACGCTTGAATGTTTTAGATAAACCCACCCGTGTGACATTATTATTATTTATCCCTTCCTACTAGGTCAACATGCTAGCTGTACTACCTTTGAGATATGGTCAATGAATAGAAACAATCCGGTTTACAGGTTCCTGACTGAGTCTTCTCCCTGTCACCACTCAAGGTCAATTCAGCTTGCTTTGAATGTTTTCCTACAAGGGCACTTTCATCAGTTCATATGTATGGGGGGAAGGGGGTATCTCATAAGTTAGGTAGTGAATGCAACATACATATGTATGGGGGGTACCTTTTACCACCACAAGATAAACTGATAAACTTTGGCAACAGAACCATCTAGAAAGATGGTGGCCTCTTCCTAACCAAAGGTTTTCACAGCGGTATGTTGGGAACAAGGCTGTCCACAGGGTGAAGTCAAAATAGGCAAGATGGTGGAGAGATCACCATGATGCAAGTCTTGATCCTTTTGTACGTTGTAAAAAAGGGATAGAGCTTGAATTGCGATGCTGTGTGTGCTAGGTGGCCCATTTTCACCCCTCCTGGATATGCTGGCACAGGATGCTTTAACTCTGGATATCTCGTATCAAACATATTAGCCTAGATGAACTATTAACCCCTCCCCAACTATATGATTGTACAGCAGAGCAAGTCCCCATTGAAAGGTAATTATTATTCTTAGCAGGGTTCCTTCTATAACATAGCATCCTGACCATCAGTGAGCTCCTCATGAGTCCTCTCTTTAGAGATGAATCTGGAATCTGTATTTTAACATCTACTGCAAGGGATCATCTAAAGTTGCCTTCAAAACCTCTATTATCCCATAATATCCAAATATATTACGCTGTGGTTTTCAGCAAGTGCTTTGCAGCCCATCTTGGCTGAAAAAACAGGATATGTGAATAAATAATACTAAAATAGCTTCCTTTGATACCCCATAATTTATTGCCTTATTGCTTTTGCAGCGTTTAAGTTACTGATTAACAAGTTAATTACTGATAAAAGCAAATGTTTCTCCAAAGATCCATTTTAACAGACCAACTAATGATCTGAAAATGTTTTTGACTGTAGAAGTTAACACTAAATGTGCTGAGTTAGCTTTAGGATCGAAAACAAATATATGATGTATTTTACATTAGTCTTACACACAGCTACATCTATGAGAATGGAGTTGCACTGGGAGGGGTTACAGGAAAGCATCTGAATAAACACAATTGTTGCCTCTCCTGTCCTCCAGAATTGCTCTTTCAGCTACCTATACACATGGCTGAAAAGGATGTTTAAGCCTTTCTGCTCCCCTAGTTCATATAAACACACCCAAGCCTTTTCAAATGCTCAAAGAGCCTTTTGTGCCAGTGTGTGATGTACCATCATTGAAGAATCACCATCAGACAGAAAAATGCATTAATGGTCATAGCAGAGGATATGAGTAGGTGTGTTTTTTTCTAATTAAAAAAAAACAAACAAATATATTTAACTGCTGCTAAATACAAGAAAGGAGTAGATAGCAATTACATTAAAAAGTAATCTTAATTTGGCCAAGAGTTTATTCAGCTTTCTTCGTCCCTTCCATTTGCAATCCAAGGTTTTTAAAGGGAAGGACAAGACAGGAGTGATGGGATCTAAGATAGGTGGGTGAAGTGCTTTCTCAACTTTTGTTTGTAGATTATATGAAATGTATGAAACAGCTGAGGAAAGGAAATTAGCTCTTATTGGTAACCTTTATCAAGAGCTATCTTTTGGAATCAGCTGTGATTTTTCTTGATCTGGGCAACGGTGACCTTTACACTGAGCCACACAAATCTGCAAAGTGCATGAAGAGGTGGCACTGCTTTAACAGATGGGCATTTAAAAGAATTTTGCCACGGATCTTGCTGGGAGTGAACCTGGAGGTTTCATTCTCAACCAGTCTACTGCAACATGAACAATAGGAACAGAGAAGTCTGACTAGGACCAGAACCAAACAGAGGAAATTGGGGGGGGGGAGGGGATTAACAGAAGAATATATAGCTTCAGCATAAGTATGATCCACATTTTTATACTGATTTCTTTTATTGAACAATCCACAGGAACATTTACTGGAGTAGAAATCAGCTTCCCAAAGTGGACAGATAAACAGTGGACTTACCCCAGTCTACCTAACCCGACTTGGAAATCCTCAGAATGTCCTAAGGACTTCATTGGAATAATCCAATATTCCACTCAGTCCAGCATCTTGTTTTACTCACTGGGCAACCAGATCTCTTGCGAAGCCCAAGTAGGTCATGAAGATTATTAATGCACAGAGCAAAAGACAGAAGAGCATCATAGAACGAGCCACTGATAAATCTCTACCTCAACAGCTTGCAGTTGGCTGTTTACAGAACAGGCTCTTGAATTTTTATCAGTCTGGGAACCACTCTTACGAGTGCCAGAATCATAGAATCATCATAGAACTGTGGAGTCAAAGGACCACAAGGATTATCTTGTCCAACCTTCTGTAGTGTTTAGGAAAACCAGTTAAATCATCCTTGTGAGTTGGCTTGATCTTTTTAAAAACCTCTAGACGTAGAACAGGGTTCCTCAACCTCAGCAACTTTAAGATGGGTGGACTTCAACTCCCAGAAT